CCTCTTCTATGTCACAGAACGTAACACGGGGATACGCTTCCTCATTGATACTGGAGCAGAGGTCAGTGTCATCCCACCCACAATAGAGGAGCGCAGGCGGCCAATGTCCTTACAGCTACGTGCCGCAAATTGTTCGCCGACAGCTACGTTTGGCAGGCGCTTTCTTGACCTGAATATCGGCTTGCGCCAAGCATTCCGCTGGGTCTTTCTGGTAGCGGACGTGACCACAGGTATCATCGGTATGGATCTGCTACAGCATTACCAACTACTCGTAGATACAGGTAAACACAGGTTGATAGATTCAGCCACAAACCTCTCGATTAACGGTATCGCCACCAAGTGCCCAGCCCTCAGCCCTGTGTATGCCACACCCACTAGTACTGGTCCTTATTCGCATATACTGCAATCTTTTTCGGATTTGTTCAAACCTAGCAGCGGTCTGCCATGTGCGACTTCCAACGTCACACACCATATTGTCACTACTGGTCCGCCAGTTTTCGCGAAACCGAGACGACTATCCCCAGAAAAACTAAAGGTTGTTAAAGCGGAGTTCGAGCATATGCTAGAAATGGGGATTATTAGGCCATCCAGCAGCCCGTGGTCCTCACCGTTGCACCTGGTACTTAAGAATAACGGTTTAGATTGGCGTCCTTGTGGTGATTACCGCAGACTAAACGCACAAACTGTTCCCGATCGCTACCCTGTCCCTCACATACACGATTTAACCGCCTCACTCAAGGGAGTCCGAGTATTCAGCAAACTGGACCTGACACGGGCTTATTACCAGATCCCGTCGACCCCGTGGATATACCAAAGACGGCCGTGATTACGCCGTTTGGCCTGTTCGAATTTCTTCGAATGCCTTTCGGCTTACGGAACGCTGCCCAAACCTTCCAGCGTTTTATCCATGACGTTTTGCGCGGGCTTGATTTCGCCTTCGCCTATCTGGACAATATATGGTAGCTAGTCCAGATGAAGCCACTCATCAACTTCATTTGCAGACAGTTTTCCGAAGACTTGTGACACACTCCCTCACACTCAACTTGCCGAAGTGTCAGATTGGAGTCACTTCCTTGAAGTTTTTGGGACATAGGATAGACAAAGATGGAATTTATCCGTTATCTGACCGGGTAGAAGCTATTCAAAACTTCCCTCTACCCACTTCTCCCAAGGCACTACGCACTTTTCTCGGGATGGTTAGTTACTACCGTCGCTTTATCCCACAGTGCGCCCACCTCTTGACCCCCTTGACTGATATGCTTAAAGGGAAATGCAAGTCTTTGGTGTTCACTAAGGAAGCCTCGACAGCTTTCGCAGCTATCAAGAAAGCTATTGCTGATGCCACAATGTTGGTCCATCTAGATGTCCAACTCCCAATCAGCATTTCCGTAGATGCCTCTAACACTGCGATCGGAGCCGTCCTACAACAGCGTATGTCCAATGCATGGCTACCGATTGCTTTCTTTTCACGTAAACTTACCGCATGCGAATCTCGATACAGCACCTTCGGTAGGGAACTTCTCGCTGTCTATGCTGCTGTCAAGCACTTTCGTCACTTTGTGGAAGGCCGGCAATTTACGGTATTTACCGACCATAAGCCATTGACGTACGCCCTCCACACTACTTCAGACCGGTATTCACCGCGAGAATCACGCCATTTAGACTATATTTCCCAGTTCACTTCCGATATCCAGCACGTTTCTGGAGCGGATAACGCGGTAGCAGACGCTTTGTCTCGCGTATGTGCTACGTCGGTACCACCAACCATCGATCTTCATAAAATGGCCGAACTCCAACTGAAGGATTTGAACTTAGAACACCTGTCAAATAAAACCTCACTGAAGATAGAACGCGTCCCCTTGCTAAACAGTGAAACAACTATACTTTGCGATATGTCAACGGGCACTCCTCGACCGATTGTTCCCACGTCTTTACGCCGCACCGTGTTTGAGTCCCTCCACAACCTCTCCCATCCTGGCATACGAGCAACGGACAAGTTGATATCAGCGAGATTTGCGTGGCCCGGTATGAACCGTGATGTGCGTCAATGGACACGTGCTTGTGTGCAATGCCAACGTGCTAAAGTCACCAAGCATAACATCACGCCGTTAGGGACGTTTGCGACCCCAGACGCTCGGTTCCATCATATACACCTGGATATAGTAGGGCCCCTGCCCCCGTCTAACGGCTGCTCGTATTTACTCACATGTGTGGATCGTTTCACACGTTGGCCGGAAGCCATTCCGATACAAGATGTAACGGCTCAAACCATCTGTCGTGCCTTCATGGAAGGCTGGGTTGCCCATTTTGGATGTCCCGCAACTGTCACTACCGACCGCGGACAACAATTCGAATCCACAAGCTTCAAGGAATTGTTAGAGATGCTGGGATGCAAACGCATTCGCACAACCGCGTATCATCCTGCGGCAAATGGGCTAGTAGAACGTTTCCACCGTCAACTGAAAGCCGCGTTGATGGCAGTAGACAACAGTAAGTGGACAGATTCGCTACCACTGGTCCTGCTTAGCATCCGGGCTACGCTTAAAGGGGATCTGCAGTGCTCGCCAGCTGAATTGGTGTACGGTACCACCCTGCGTTTACCAGGCGAGCTAATCGCTCCTGAAGCTTTCGAGCCAAATTTCCCTGATACCACCTGTTACGCTCAGCAACTTAAAAGTTTTATGCAGCGAATCCGACCGGTTTCCACACGCACTCAGAACCGAAAGGTTCAGGTTGATCGGCGACTTGATGACTGTACGCACGTTTTCGTGCGTCACGACGCCATACGAAAGCCATTACAACCACCGTATGACGGGCCTTTTAAGGTCCTTAGTCGTAAAGATAAATTTTTCGTTATTGAGCGATGCGGCCGCCCAGACACTGTCAGCATAGACAGACTTAAAGCGGCATACACTGAAGAACCTTCACCCTCCCCATCGGCTCAATCAAATAGCCCCACGTAACCTAGTCCTTGTCCAGACTCAACTACCTCACCTCCAGTGGCAAATGATGATTCTCCTACCGTCACCAGTAAGACCCCTGTCACACGTGCTGGTCGACGTGTTCACTGGCCCAAGAGGTTCACAGAATTCTTTCACTGAACTAATCCATAGGTAATACTATTAGTGGTTTTTTATTCCTTGTCACAATTTTTTATTCAATTTTGCTATATTTACTCTATTCGGTCCCGCCTCTGGGAGTAGTCGTTTCCCCCCCACCAATCCTTTTAATCTTTTTCTCTCGTTACAGAGGATCAGCAGCAGTTTTTATCCTAATTTTTCATCTATTTCATCTCAATCTACTCGCCAGACCGGTTGGCCTCTCATGTCATCTTGTAACCCACGCCAATTGAGGAATTACGAACAGTATATTACTTTTCACTGCGCATTTCTCCGAAAAAAGTATTATTAAAAAAAATTACTAAAAAAATTTATAAAAAAAGCCTATAAAATTATTAATAAAAACAAAAACAAGAAACTTCCACTGTATAGTTAAATGGACCGATATACATATTTTTGCGCATAAATGCTTCACTTCTATGCTGTACATAGTAATCCGCTCAATTTATTTTCACAGCCTGTACTATATTCCTTCGGGTTTATGCCCTCCTGCAATTCATTTATTTTGTGAACCGTACTTGTAAACATTATGCATCACCTTAGTATGCACTTCGCAACATGAACAAAGTAATTTTTGTAATGATAACTACTCATAGCTATTGGTTATGTACAAACTTCTCTGTAATTTTATAAGTTCTCACAGGGTAGAAACTTCCTTTGTTTTATCTCATTCTAACGTACTACTTCCAAGTTGCACCAGTTTTCCTCGCATTGATTTCGCACAAGCTTTTGTAGTACCTTTACGCCGATTTTGAAATATTAACCTCTTCTCCCACCCTCTTTTGTTGTTTTTTACCCTGCTCCTTATCATACACTGGTATAATGATTGCCTTTAACATGACTGCTAGGTTCTGTTGAAGCGGAGGAAGGGAGCATTAGTCTAAAATGAAAGTTAGGCATAATGAGTCACCTTCTTTCTACGACAGCCTCGGCGGCGGAGGTTTACCATCAGACCTCCACATAAGTAAGCTTGTAATAGTACGGAATTTAAAAAAATGAATCGATAAATATCAATACAATAAAAAAAATACTGAAAAAAAATTAATAAAAATATGAAAGATAAAAAAACACCATACAGCAGACGCTTACAACCACACAAGGCACCAGCGTCATTTCTTCTTATATTCCGTCTTACTTCACTAATCATGTACATACCACTTCCAACTTACCTTAATTTTTTGCTTTTCTTTTGCTTTCTTTCCTTTCGATAAAATTTCTTTTTTTTACTATTCCTATCTTCAAACCTTCGCATTCACTCATTGCTATTGTACCAAGCCGTCTTACTTTTGTATATCGAAGCTTGCTGGTTTCCCACCAACCTTCTAGGTGGGGGGGATAACCTGTAGTGCACATTGTACCCTTGAACTTTTGTTTAAACTCGCTCACCTATGTTGATACGCTTTTTATCTTTTGAGTTGCGGCTCTTCTGTACGTTCATTGGTTCGCTCTCCTGTTGTGCTCTCTTTCTGCACACTCTTCGAGGCTACCTCCAGCAACGTCTGCAAATAAGTTGTACAACCTCTTTATTTATTGAATTTCATATTTCGTTCTGTAAAATATAATTGTCCTAGATGCACTATCATACCAAATCTTTTTACCTTGATTCAGTTCGTCAGTATTTGCACGTTGAGTAGCGTACATCTAAGGGCGTAAAACGGTGAAGAAGTTTTGAAAGAGTGTCTAGAGTTGAAGTCTACCTTAAGCCGTAATGACTCTTACAAATTATTGTGTTATCATTTTGAAAAAAAATCTATTTTCAAATTGTACAAGAATTTACAAGTTGTAAAAAAAATAGAAGGGGAATAAGGTAGATAGAGATGTTAATTCAGATTTAGAATGTTGTTTTCAGTGTTGCTGTTGTTGTTGTTGTCGTCATATAGTTTATTCCCGGAAAGCTTTGTTCACTTCTTCTCTTGTTGTTGGCTTTTTATACAAAATAGTTTCAATATCATCTTGTTGACCATAAACTAATGCTTTCAACCAGACAAGTGGATTTTTCCTGTAAAATTTACGTCTTTGTTCTTTTGGCACAGATCTCAATCCAATTTGTACAGTCCACCATGTGTCAGAGGCTATACGCCAACATATAGCTGGACCAATAGCTACCATAACAGTGATAAGAAATGTGAACCAAAAAGCAGGACTGCGACCCAACTGAGAATATCTTTCATATTCACTGCTCAACGGTGAACCAAATGTCTGAAGAAAAAAAACAGATAATGAAAATGTTTTGTTTTTAGAAAGATAATGAACAGATGAGTATTTGTTTTTCGAGTTAGACTACGGATTGTTATCAATTAGAGAACCATTGAAAACCAGGTATTACTGGACAGCTGTTTCTTCTTTGTTTGAAACTCATCGGCGGCATGCACCCACTATTAGGGTTCAGACCCAGAGCTTTCCGGTTACAAGATTAACCAGCTCGTAAAGCATTCAGTCACTGGGATCTGATTCAATGACCCACGAATTCTAACTCTTACCAATTTGTGATTTTTTAGTGCGATCACTAACCAATGTTAAATCTTTACAAATCAACTCTTGAAAATGAGCAATTGAATATTCCAGTTTAGACATTTAGAGGACAAAAAGAAAATCGACCGAAGAATATTCTTTTCAATAACTTTTTCAGTGCACTAGGTGCAACATCACAACCACATTGGATAAATAAGGATAATCTAGTCTAATTTCGCCTCTTTTAAAGTTTGATTTTGATTATAGCTTGAAACCACACCGTATTAATGGTAAAAGTAGGGAATTTTCAGCATGTGATGTTGGTAGCCCAAATTTCGCCACAGGCCGACCATTGATATCAGGTGTGCGTCGGTAGGGGATCGAACCCTGGACCATGTGCATGGTCGGTGAGAGTTCTAACCGCTATGCCACCGACACACAGTTTGAGTGCTTCTTTGAAACTAGTAACACATTGGGTCTAAAATTAAGCCTCTTCATCACTGGATTTCTGGACACCCAGAAGGAGTTAGAACGGGCAATTTCTATACCTCTTGGCTATCACTACTTGATTGTAAAAGTTTACCAGTTTCTTCTTTCTTCTAAGCCTTTTACAAGCTACTATTGCTTGAATTAACTTCAATTTGTATTCAACATTTCACCTGCTCCTATGGAGCTAAGTACATATGACGTACCATCAGGACATTGTCAAAGCGTTCTCATGAACACTTACTAGCATGATCAACAGCTCAATTCTGTAGCATATTATTACTTCACGTCATGCAGCATCAACAGAACTGTGGTGATTGACACTTTCTATCTCTGTATTGTTTAAAATACTTACTGTTGACTGTTGATATGTTTCTTATATGAATTACATAATAATTCCGCTAAATACAAATTCCGGATTGCTGCCCTCTCTGAGTTTTGGTTTCATTCGTTAATTCCGTCAGATCGAAATACTAATACTTCAAGTACAATAAATTACTACAAATTGGCGTCGCGATGGAGCTAAGTAACCTAGGAAAATTCCTCATTAATGGGTCTCCGCGGGAGATTGCTGATTATTTGGAATGCTTTGATGCGTGGTGCATTTCCAAGAATGTTCGGGATGACAAAATACCTGCTCATTTCATCACTACTATTGAGCTTGAGGCATATAGCCTAGTGAAGAATCTGGCGTTTCCAGATAAACCCATTTCGCTGCCATATGCTAAGCTCCGTGAACTTCTTATAGATCACTTCCATGTAACTACTTTTGAGACCAGAGAGAGGGCTCACTTCAACAAAGTGGTTCGTGCTCCCAACCAGAAGATTAGAAACTTCATTCTTCAACTTCAAATGCAAGCTTCAAAGTACAACTTTGGAGATCAGCTGCATACACAACTACGTGATCGTCTAATTGCTGGAATCAATATTCCTAAATGAGAGGAGTTAATTCAGATTCCTTCTTGTACCTTTCAAACTGCTAAAGATGTATGTATTACAAATGAAGATGTCAATAGTGAATACTCTGCTCCCACTACGTCAGTATCTGATGTCATGCTGTCCAAAGTCGAAAATACAAGTGGTCATGGAAATAAATCCAAACTGCCGTCCACAGGTAATAGAATGCAGCCAGAGATCAAAAACATTAAACCGTGTTTATCCTGTGGAAAGTTACATCTGCGAAGCACTTGCCGTTTTCGAGGTGCTAAGTGCTATAAATGTGGTAAAGTTGTACACATCAAGACGGTTTGCAGAAGTTCGAATACATATGTTGCTCAACATTCTTATAATTCTCCCAAGCTGTCTAGTAAAATGGAGTCAATGTGTCTTTCAACTTTTCAAAATACTCAAGCTAATCCAACGAAAACCTCCACTGCAAGTTCAGCAATGCAAGTATCAACTGTATTCAAAAATGAGGTAGCTAAGTTGCAACGTGAACTGTCGAAAGCACGAAAAGACCTGAATGAGATGAGAGAGCAACTGAATAAAATTGAGGAATTACTGCATATGCATAGACTACGTCTGGTGAATCCAGAGCATACAAGTTCTTGTGAAAGTCCTGCAAAACGTTTCAAATCTCGAATTCTCAAAAAGCATCTGATGTCCACTACTTCTAATGTACATTATTACAAAGATAATAACTACAGACCTTCTGTTGGAATTATACTACAAAAAATGGGAAATCGAGTGGTGAAGATATTAGACATCAAAGATCACTCAGTTCATAACGGACACCTGGACAAAGTGACAATAAATGAAGTAGGTCATTCCAATTATAATATTATTGATTCCGCTAATAATCCTGATTTTGTAGATAATTCAGAAATAAGTCCAGATAGTACTGATGAAAATAATATCACAGAATCAGTTAGCTCGAAGCTACTTGCAAGCAGACCGAGACATCGTTATAAATACGCGAGGAGATATTCGAGGTGTGGCGGATGTGGTGATTGACACTTTCTATCTCTGTATTATTTAAAATACTTACTGTTGACTGTTGATATGTTTCTTATATGAATTGCATAATAATTCCGCTAAATACAAATTCCTGATTGCTGCCCTCTCTGGGCTTTGTTTAGATTCTTCTATTTTCGTCATCTCGGAATATTAATATTCTGATTACAGTAAATTACTACAAGAACCTTCTTTCAGAATCATAAATCGACTCGTTCGAAAAGATTTCGCCTACATATTCTTTATGAAGCAGAAGGCCTGACAGTCCTTAAGGAGAAACCTGAACTTTGTGTTCACAAACGTTTCATCCTGCCTATTTTATTGTCATGGCCTCAGTACTATTTTTATTTTTCCATATTTTCCTCATTCTTTGTCGTTTTGAGTAACTTTTTAATAAGCCCAGTTTTGTCTACAAAAAACACAAAAATTGAGCAAAGAATACTGTTTTCGATAATTCCTTCTTCTCGCTCCATAACTACATATATGTTTCTATACATAGAATATTCTAGAATAGTAATCAATAACAATAATGGCGTTTTTTCAATAATATCGATCTTTCAAATAAGATCAGTGGAATAACAGTTCACGAAAGACGCCTAAATTATAATGAGCGTACAAATATAAAATACAGAGAAAACAGAGGGGATGAAGATTCCTGGCCAACAGCAACAACAACAGACAACAATCAGCATATATGGGAGGAACCTAAAAGAAACAACCTCCTTTGCCTACCTACCTACCTACCTACCTACCTAGGAAGCATAGTTTCAACTACAGGCGGAACTGATGAGGATATCAAAGCAGCGAGGATCGGGAAAGGAAGACAAGCTTTCATTGCTGTCAAGTCTGTGTGGAGGTCAACAGCACTCAGCATCAAAAATAACATCCGGATTTTCAACTCTAATTTGAAGTCAGTGTTGCTATACGGATCAGAGACTTGGCGCGTCATAAAGAGCATCTCCAACAAACTACAGACCTTCATTAACAGCTGTCTTCGCTCAATACTCAAGATCAGACGTCCAGAAGCAGGGACTTCTGGCAACGAGCGAACCAACCAGGAACCGACTGTGCAACAAATGGGCAGGAAGAAATGGAGATGGATTGGCTATACTCTGAGGAAGCCATCAAGCGACATCACGCACCAGGCCATCGCTCGAGTGGAACCCGAAAGGGAAGAGGCGAGTTGATCGTCCAAAGGTGACATGGAGGGGTCATATGAAGGGGAGATGAAAGTATGTAGCCAGACGTGGATCCAGGTGAAAACATTGGCAGAGAACTGAACGCAGTGGAGACGTGCAGCTGAAGCCCTATGTTCCTCTAGGAATTAAAGGAAATAATATAATAACAATAATAATTTCCGCTACACGTATTATTTCCCTCCTATCTATTAATAGTTCTAGTAAATAATAGTAATAACAATTAACAATAATAATAAAACTCACTTGATACATGAATAAAATGAAAAGATTCAAATTTGTACAAACATGACACGTAATTATCATTAGATTAAAATCTCTTGTCCATATTGTTGAACGTAGAGTGATTGCCACCCATAGACAAATAAATGATGCATTACCAAGCATTGTAAAATCATAAATTCCATTCGATATTTTACCCGAATCATAGAAAAATGCTTCAGAAAAGTATTGACCACCGACTAGACAAAAATAGGGTATAAAAAAGGTCACTATTCCATGCCATACACCATCCAGAACCCAAAACAATATATACCAAGCTTTTAAGTTGGCTTGATGTCTCATCTAGGCAGAAAAAGGAAATTAGAGTAGTAAGAATAATATTAATAGCTTTATTTTAAACAGTACTTTCGATACAACTGTGGAATTTTGAGCATGTAGTACAATATTATATCTAGCTAGTTACATCTGGCTAGCTGATATCCTTGAACCAGTTAAAAGACATATGACAAAATATAGCCTCAGAGATACATTTGACTACGTCGACTCAATGAAGGATGTCAACGTGTTTGAAAGACAAGGGATCTCACTAGATGTCTCCTCTCTATTCACAAGTATCCCCCTAACCAAAACAATATGCTTCATTTGTAATTACATCGAAACCAACAACAATCTAGAAGTTCCTCTCCCCACAAACTACCTGAAGGGACTTCTTCTCAGATGTACGTTCAATATCCATTTCAAATTCAATGAATAGTTTTATGTAGAGAAAGATGGGGTAGCCATGAGGTCTCCTCTCAGTTCACTCCTAGCTGACTGCTTCATGGCAAGTCTCGAAAACAACATACTCAGTCTCTTGATAAGTCAACTGCACTTATACAGGAGATACGTAGATGATACGTTCATAATCTGTGATGAAAAATCTGATTTAGATTCTCTCCTCAAAACCTTCAACGCAGCGCACCCATCAATAAGATTGACCTTAGAATGTGAATCGAACAACGAATTTCCATTTCTCGATGTGCTACTAACCAGAAGACACGACGGTACGATCCAAAGATCGATATGCCGCAAGCCAACATGGACTGGACAGTTTATCAACTTCCAGAGCCTTGTCCCACTGATCCGAAAGAGAAACCTGGTACGTTCATTGTGTTCAAGGATTATAAAAATCTGCTTGGAAGACATGGTAGAGAAAGAATTAAATTTACTACGTGAAACCCTACTAGAGAATGGATATCCACCAAGATTTATCGACAAAAACATGAAGGAGAAGCGTCCAGTGCCAGACATTGCAACGGTTCCTAAGAAAACTCTCTTCATGAACCTAGAATTCAAAGGTGATATCGCAGCGAAAATTCTCAGAAACCGCCATTCTAAATGTCTGAAGAAGACATTTCCAACAGCCACCTTACGTATCACATTTTCCTGCAGACAGTTAATCCAGTCTAACGCTAAGGACAAGATACCGCTTTTGGCCACTTCAGTGTGTATTTATCAATTTACTGGCTTATCTGGACCGAAGTTTATCGGCCATACGCAATGTCAAGTCCACAAATGTATTCTGGAACACTGTCCAGCTTGGTTAGCCAGAGGAGAAAAGAAGAATATCAGCAGCTCTATCCTCAAACACCTTGTCATCTCAAGACATCGAGCACCCCTACATGAATGCTTCACAGTGTTACACAGAGTCCCTCAATATCATACGAAGGGACTTCAGATACGCCATCTGTACATAGTTGTATCATTAGCTGTCCGGGATCTGAAACTGGACCTCTGCATTCTCTTGCCCTGTCATGGCCAGAGTAAAGTTCTTACCACAATTTTGCTTCTTTCCTTCATTATGTAAGTTCACTATTATTATTTTATTGTTATTAATACTTTTGTGGTGAGAGCAGGCTGCTAGCCGATTGGTTGGCACTAATCTACGTTAAGGTCTAGGTCACTAATATGGGCCGTGAGAAAATATGAACAAGCCTGAGTCGACAACCAATCACAGCAAAGTTAACGTGGCAGAATATGATTCGCAGAGAGAACTCTATTTGTCAAGGAATCCCGAAACAACCAATCAGAAGCCTGCGTTTGTCTACCTAAACAACCAATCAGATGACTGCGCTTGTCTATAATAATGTAGTTGAAAGATGTATAAATACGTGTTGATTTTCATAATAAAACGATCTGTTGCCTGGCCCTTGTCTTCTGTTGTTACATTTGGTGTCGCTGCCTACCGACAAATGAAAAGCCTATACCCTGCAGTTTTTGATGGAGACATATGGATCTTCGGGCAGGACTTCAAGGCTTCTGCGCAGTTGAGTGGCGTTCAAGATCTGTCAGCGATGGAGCTGCTACTTGAGACACTGCTGGGAGGTCGGGCGAAAGCAGCATATGAAGGTGTGGGCCGAAGTATGGACGAATGTTCGACAGGGTCAGGCAAACAGTTTCCAAAGTGGGAAGGACCATATATGGTCACTTCGAGATGGGGTTACGCAGACACAGTCGCAATGGCGAACAATGAGAGGCGCGTGAACGTCAGCGAGCTCCAGAAATGGATACAGCGAGACAAGCCAACGATGACGCCTGCACCAAGTAGATCAAGCCGACTTCAGTCGCACGTATTTGACGGGGGGACGAGTGTGGTGAGAGCAGGCTGCTAGCCGATTGGTTGGCACTAATCTACGTTAAGGTCTAGGTCACTAATATGGGCCGTGAGAAAATATGAACAAGCCTGAGTCGACAACCAATCACAGCAAAGTTAACGTGGCAGAATATGATTCGCAGAGAGAACTCTATTTGTCAAGGAATCCCGAAACAACCAATCAGAAGCCTGCGTTTGTCTACCTAAACAACCAATCAGATGACTGCGCTTGTCTATAATAATGTAGTTGAAAGATGTATAAATACGTGTTGATTTTCATAATAAAACGATCTGTTGCCTGGCCCTTGTCTTCTGTTGTTACACTTTTATTACCATTATTATTCCCGTCAGCCACATTTTATTGCTACTCTATTACTGTTTATCAATAGCATTGCTTTTCATACAGATCTTATACAAGAACACTTTATCGCCTTTCCACTAGTTCCTGTCCATTCTACACGAGCTCACTGATTAGTCATTATCTCACATATATTACGTCGTGCCAACTTTTGTCTCTTTTCTAACTTACAATTAGTCATCCCTTCTTACACCTTACATTATGTAATACAACTTTTCAAGGACAAAGTTTACCAGTATCTGATTGGTCTAAACATTTCTTTGTTACGAATGTACAGCAGCTTATGAAAGTGAGTTGTCGAAAAGAACATTTTCTTCGCTGTTTGTGCCTTTTTCTTATGACTTGTTACACAATACAAGGACAATAATTGGACAGAGCATTTACATGAATGATAAGAGTATGTATATAAAACTAAAATTCAGGTGAAAATATTAACCACAGTGTCAGTATATAATAGTGGAACAAGGAATAAAAAGTACCGTTTACTTAGTGTTTCTCAGTAAATTAGCGGTGTCAGGCCTAACACACTCTACTCATCACATAACGTGTGGAACAAGTAACGTATTGTAAAGTTTTTAAACTTAATCATTGGAGATTAAAGTCTTCCATAGTTGCTGCTAGTCCTACCTGTGTGATGAAATGCAAGGACAGAATTATTTAGAGAGGAGATGCTCAGGGTCTGACAAGATATTTACTAATTTGTTGCATTAGTCCATGTGTCTATTTAGGACAGTATTAACAGGTTGGTTTAGCCGCACTCCACTCGCCTTACCGTCAAATTTAATGCTGTTGACATTGAAATTGTAACGACACAAGACAAGGGCTAGGCAACAGATCCTTTATTGAGAAAATAAAGAGGTATTTATAGATTTCTATGTGCATTATCATTAGTGTTATTGTCAGTGGAGAAGTAACGTCTTTCTGATTGGTTGTTTTTTTGCTCAAGGTTATTCTGTACTGCTTGTGACTGTTTCTTAGAAAGTGATGGCCATATATCTACGAATCGTATTTGCATACGTTAAGTCTGTTGTGGTTGGTTGGTGAGTTCCTCAAGGTTAAGCTTTGTTATTGCTTTTTTTCGCATAGACCCGATTAGGGATGTAAACATTGACGTGAATTGAAGTCTACAATTTTGGTAAGCAGGCAGCTGTCACCACAAAATAAAGTCCTTCTTAAGTAGCCCAAGGAAGATTAAGAACAAGAATTCACAAACTGTAACAGTAGAGTCGGAATGATACCAGATTGTCTTAACTTCCTTACGTCTGGAAATGAGGATGGTATGGGAAGACCAGGAAAGGTGATCAGAAGAAATACACAACCCAAGGCACTTAATATTTGAATTAGTTTCAATTTCTGTATCATTCATGATAATACAGTAATGAGAACTAACCAGGGTGACTCTAAAGAATAGCGGCCCAAACCGAAACGACCTTCGAACAAAAAAGTGACCTTGAGGAAGGAATCAGCTGACTGTATCATTTTCGGATGTAATCATGGATGTTTTCGATTACTTTTTGGATAACGGACTGATAGCCTTGTCGAAAATTTGCCAATGCGGAGGAGTTATGCATATACAAAAATAGACAGAAGCCATTGATGGCTTTGTATACAGATGTATTGAGTGCCGAAGGAAGAAATCGGTTCGAGAAGGTTTGTCGTTGTTTTTTAGTTTACAGATCCCTTAGGAACTTTTCTCTCAAGGTCTAAACTACCTTTGACGAAAATTTTAATGATCTGTAACTTCTGGGTCCTGAAAAGAGCAGTCACAGCTACAGCTTATGAAACAGAAAATTCAGGGGTGTCAGCAGTGCACTGGTACAACTACTGCCGAGATGTTTCCTCCTGGAAAATGAACACCCTGACTCAAGTTCTCGGAGGAGTCGGCAGCATAGTCCATATCGATGAGACTGTACTTATAAAAAGGAAATACAACCGTGGGAGATTACAAGCAAACCAGTAGTGGATACTGGGTATCTACGACACGACACTGCGCAAAGGGTATATAGAAGCGATTCCCAATCGCAGTGCAGCAGTATTAGTGCCTATTATTAAGCGTTTGGTGTTGCCGGGGACGACTATTCATACAGATGAATGGAGCGGATACCGTCAATTATCGAATCATGGGTACATTCATCATGTTGTTAATCATACGGACGGTTTCCGGAATCCTTTAGATGGAACCCACACCAGTTCCATTGAAAGTTTTAGGAGTCGTCTAAAAAGACGTATAAGAGCGGTTAATGGATCGAGAAATCCCATGATTTACAGTTACCTGGATGAATTTATGTACCGAAACTGGTTTCATACGACTATGAAGACTCCCATGAGAAACTGGGAGGTTTTTTGAGACAT